GGGGAGTATGGCATTGTATCTGTCTGAGGTCCCCCTCTTCCTCCTCCTCCTCAGTTCCCACCCTCAGCAGGCTTCATCCCTAAAATACCCTGGAAGTTTCCAACCTTGAGTTGGCAACCCTATGTCCTTTATCTGCCTGTGTGTCTTAAGTTTTACAACCCCCCCCCACAGCCTCTGCCTAGGGAGCAGCTGACATCATTCTCCTCTCCCAACTGAAAATTCCAACTGCCTTGCGGGGGGGGGGTGTTAGTTTGAGGTATGGAATGGAGTAAGGTCCAATCAGCTTCCATATGCAAATGACCTTGGAAAGCTGGGCGGGACTGCACAAAGCAGCCAGTCAACACAGCCAGTGTATTCTGAGCGGCAGTTTTTCCGGCCTAACACTAAGGAGGTGAAATTTAGAATGTTCATATAGAATGTTCAAACTCAATTATATATAAGGAGAGAAGAGATTGTTATGATTTTATCTAAAATTTGTTTTAGCTATATAATATCCTATTTAAGCCACCCTGAGCCTGCTACAGCGGGAAGGGCGGGGTAGAAATTAATTAATTAAATAAATAAAAAATATATAAATGTAGCGACTTCTAATATGTGGTCTTCTTGCTGATTTTGTACCACATATTCAGGCTCTGTGTTATTGATCGTATTCATTTAATTCTGGGACGTATTTCGGTATTTTTGAATGTATGTCACTTTTACTGTTGGGCAGTAATTTTTCCAACGAGCAAACAAAAAAAAAATTCTATAATAGAGATCATCCTCTATTAAATACATAAACTCACTTTCTCTTTTCCTGAGCATTCCATAGAACCTTCTATTTCTTTCATCTGCTTCTTTGTAGGAAACAGGATGTTCTCTGTAACAGAATCTTCTTTTTCAACCTAAAAGAGAAACTGTCTATCAGAAAAGACAGGTGTAACATAAAAAAGTGAATTCACAGGGCTTTTCTCAAACATGATTGAGAATGGCTTCATCCTGTCTTTGCAATTTTGCTGCATTCAGACACTGAAAAAAACTTCAGACTGTTAATGAGGACAGTGAACCAGAGAATTCTTGGGGTATAAGTCCCCACCCCCCCCCCCCGGTACACAGCTAGAATTGGAACTAACCGCCATTTGTTGTGTAATATAAATCAGGTGAAGTGAATAACTGATGTGTTCTCTTACCTCCAAAACAGAGTCTAAATCACAGTTTAATCCTAGCTAACAATGGTAATTTAAAGGCAAAATAACCCCCCTCCCCCCAAAAGCTGTTGTTTTATCTGACTTGCATGTCATAATAAACTGTGGTTGTTTTTGAATCAGAAAACCTTTAATTTCTGTGCCACACTTTTAGAGAAGAAACAGAGAATGGGCAATTCTTAGGATCTTGTGACTCATTCTCATCCATGTCAGTGATACCTGAATGAAGCCTCTCAGAGAGGGAGAGAGGGAGAGAGAGAGAGAGAGAGAGAGACATATGCACACACACGCACACACACACATATATACAGCTATCAGAAGATACAGACTTGAAGTTGCTAATGCCCCAGTGGCTGCTAAAATTCCCTTATATTCTTGGTAAAACTGACATCAGGACATCTTACAGAAGCAAATAAATAAGAAAGAATCTACTACTAAAATACAAAACAAAATTAACAATAAAACCATTAATAAACAATAAACCATTAAGGTCAGGAATAAAATTAGCACCAAAATTAGCACTATATATGTATGGTATATCTAACGTGTATCCAAATGTATATCCCATGTAATGATAACTAGCACTTTGAATATGTATCTGAATTGTCCGTAGGGTTGCCAGCTCTGGACTGGGAAATTCCTGGAGATTTTGCAGATGGAGCCTGGGAAGGGCAGGGTTTCCAAAGCAGCCATTTTCTCTAGGGAAACTGATCTCTGTCATCAGGAGATCAGTTATAACTCTGGGAAATCTCCAGGCCTCATCTGGAGATTGGCAATGCTAACTGTGTAGTTAAAGTATGTTTGCCATGGTTCCCCTTTTCCATTTTATTCTGCTGCAGACTTAAGCGTGATGATCCTGGTGACTACTTACCAATATTTCCTCCTGATTTCAAACCAGAATTAACCCATAAACTGCTTCTCACTAATTCTTCAGTGGGAAGTTCCAGTGAAGATGTTCATTGACAGAGTGACAAAATAGCAACTTACATAAGGAGCACCACCATTAAGTAGCAAAACTAGGATGACTCATCTGTACTGTTATTGGAGTGTGTGTGCAACACAGGATAAATATTCTTCACAATTCATAGAAATAAAAATGTGTATATTAAAGGTATATTTGTATATTAAAGGTAGGCCTTTAATATACAGGAGGAGGAGAGACACTGAACTAAATTTAGTCTGCACACTAGCTCATTCTGCAAAAATAGCCGAAATGCTTTTATAAAGAAAAGAGGTCACTTGGTTTTATTAGGCTACAATAAGTTAAGGCAAAATGACTATCCTAGTATTGTGTTCTCAACAGCAACTAAAATTACTCATTACCTCATTCTCTGTTTCTGTTTCTTTCTCCACATCAGCTTTTTGAGCTGCACTGGGTACCTCTTCTTCTAGTTCTTTATCAAGTTCTTTGAATTCTTCTCTTGGCTTGAGACAGTCAGGCATCTTATTGGGCTTTGCTTCTGGTGTTCCTCCCTTTACTGGATCTTCACAGTGAGAATGTTTGTGTTCTCTTGATCTTGCTTCTTCCTTTCTTTTAGACTTTGAAGTTGTATCCAGTGTTTGCTTTTGATACTTATCAGATTTTTGCTTACTTGGTTTTCTGTAATAGTTTTCGTCTCTGCTCTTATATCCAGGCAAAGAGTGGGTTCCTTTTGTACTGGGTGACCCCCCTTGTAAGTATTTTTCTCTGTGCCCTCTAGCTGCTTCAGCTTGTTCTTCCAAGTCTAGTTTATCCATATGTCGTAGATAATGTTGTTTTCTCTCATGCACCCACGTGTCAGTTCTATCTCTTTTCTCTTCCCCATTTTCTCTCCAGGGTATTACATCTCTTTCTTCCTCCCTTCTGGAATATGGAGATTGATCCCATGGCTCTCTTCCATTTCCCCAGTCTGTTCGGTTTGAGCTCAGAGGACTATGGGGTGAACTGCAGGAAGTAAAGCTTGGAGTGTGTGATCTTGGAGAAAGAGAACGGCTTATTGGGCTGCGAGATCGAGGCCTTTCAGGACCATATCTACAGCTGGAAGAGAAAGCAGGCTGTGGCTTGCAAGCTCTATAAAGTGTCATAAAAGCATTTTTTTTCTATATCCCTCTATAAGTACCATGTGTCACAAATGTGCAGTCCTTTACAGATTACATAGCATGTAGAGAGAGTGAAAGAGAGTGGGGGAAGTCAGACTGTAGTAGCAAACTCAATCACTACCTATATGCATTTGATAGAAGATCAGAACATATCCTATGTGCATACAACTGCATGTACATAGGCTCTCTTCCAACCACTTATAAGTCATGACCAGAGTCTGCCATGGTGATCCTGTTCTGTCCCATGCGCTTTCATTCTCCCAGCCTTACTGCTGACAAGGGCTTACACCAATATTCTAACAGTATTAAAAATGTTGCTTTAAAACACACATATATTACACATAGCTTTGTACCATGTACACATATTTATGCATTCATAAACACACAACCAAAAAAGGAGGATCTCTTAATCTGTATTAGTATCAGGACAGAAAAAAATCCTCAAATGCATGTTCAAGACCAAGGACAAACCAAGCAGATGAAGTATCATTCCATAATTGTAGCTATTATGGTGATTATAAATAACAGTAAGGCTGATTATCTGTATTTACACAGCCAAACTGTGGTCATGTATACAAGTGAATGGATGTTATTTGTTCAAATTGTCCACTCTTCTGTTCAACCATCAACACACCAATGCCCAAAGAAACACTGCAGCGTATAAAATAAGGTTCAACTGCTGTGGCCTGAAGGCTTCTATTTTCTATTAGTTCCAGAGGGCCTTTGATTTAGATTAAGATTGTTTGTGGATATTAATATTTTATGGTTGACATTGCTGGGAAAGTAGCTTTGCTTTTTTTATTTATGTTATTTCCTTTTTACTGTATACCATAAACCACCTTGGAAATCTGTTTTGGTCAAAAGAAATTTCACCAATTTACTAAATAAATGAAAATAAATAGATGCAAGGAGAGTGGGGCTCTAATCCCCATTCTGCTATGAACCTTACTAGGTGATCTTGGGCCACCCTTTTAGTCTAATTTACCTCACAGACTTGTGAAGATAAATGGGGGAGATGTACACCACTCTGAGCTTCTTGGGAGGCATAAAACTAAATATATAACATACAGGAAAGAATGAAATCATCACTAGTCTATTTACTGTACTGACTGTAGATCATAAAAAGGAGAACAATTTAAAATGAATTAAAGGTCAACAAAAACTGGTTTTGGGGGTGTTCAATTTCACCTTTTTCTTTGAAATATCAGCAGCAATAAAAGTGGATTTCAAACCATGTAAGTGAAAGTAGCAGCTGTTTGTCTTAGAGTCACAGTAGCATATTTTAAGATGGTTCATGAGAATTAATGCAGCTTATTTTTAACTTCAGTCACAAAAACAGGGCAGCTACTGGTAATTGTCCGAGTTACCTGTCTGCCTCCCGGAACATGTCCCGTTCCCTCTGAGAATGGATGTCCTGGATTATTGCTGCTACGTTTTTACCTGGTTTCTAAGCCAAATAAAAATACATATGTTTATAACTAGAAACATACTAAATATTTTGAAGCTATTTAAAGTGAAGAAATGACATGTCATAGAACATTTCAGATTATCTGCACCACTTCTGTAGAACTCTATAATTCTCTGTTCTTAATATAAAAAATCTACTTTGTTAAAAATAATAAATCTAGATTAATAATAATAATAATTATAATAATCTATGTTGGTGCTTAAATTTCTTTAAAATTGTATTAGAGATTACAGCACTCTGAACCTGATTTTTGGAATACATTTTACATTTTGAAAATGTAGTGTGAATAAATATTGTCCCAGCTGCATTGAACATTTGGGTACTCTGCTAAGCAAAGCTAATGAATATTAATTTTCATCAGTAGTTCCTGATAGGGAACTATGGTATTTGATCACAGAAACAGTATTAATCTCTAATGGAAAAAGATATTGCTGTGTATGACCATTGCCTGGTATCTAAGGGAAACTCATAATTTAAAGCCATGCTTGTACTGTCCTTGTACAGTCCTTAACTAAGTATGGCAAACAAAACAATCATAACCAGAGATTAAAATCCTAGAAACGCTATCCTGGAACTAAAACCTGTGGAATAAACTGGAACTTACTTCTGAGCAGACCTTCTTAAGACTTCCCTGAAAATACTCTTAAAATTAAAATAACCCAGCCCATTATCATTGCAACAAATAGTCTTTAAAAAATCTGGAATATTTTAATGCAATTTTATTTTTATCATAATTACACAATTATGAAATTATAATTATTTCCTTCCCCCTCTCACAGAGAAAAGGAACTGATGAAGAATCCATTCAATTATCATGAGTGAACACGAAGTACTTAATTAAGCATGGAGAATCAGAAGATGTTTAAAATAGGATTTTAAGGGATGAAAGTGAAGTCCTTAATGGTTTTATCTTTGGTTGGGAGACTGTTTTAACTTGGCTTGATGTATGAAGCGAGGGAGCCGAAAATTATAGACAAGAAACAACTGTCTAGAATCTGTTGAATTCAAATGCAAAGAAATCAGTACTTTGGAGTTTCTCCTTTCCTACAAATTGAAGTAAAGAGAAAAGGCGTGGCCTATTTCAAAGGAACATTCTCCCATGGTTAGAAGTTACATAAAGGAAATGGAGACCTCTGTGTGATCTTTAAATTTCTGTAAGAGCAGATGAGAGTGGGGAGGGCATATGATCTGGACTAGGATTATAACCCTTCCCTTCTGTCCCTGTTTCCCTAAAGGGAAAAATAGTACTACCAGGGGTGGGAGGAGTGGAAGAAGATTTTGCTGGCACTACAATTCCAGTCCAAATCAATTCCTTGCCCTGGCACAAGCATGCCATTTGGCTATTTCAGGTTGGCCATCTCCTGGCAGTCCAGCCCTTCTACCTGCTCTTGCATCCAAACATGTGGGAGAAATGAGGGGGACGATGTTGCTCAGCACACTGACATTATATCCAGTTGGTTTCCACAGTGTCAGCTGATACACTGACACCACATCTGAGTTTTCACCTGGACGTAACACTCATGCATTGTACAGCATCACTTCTGCCCTTTGTCCTGTCCCCAACTCTCCTGAGGGTCCCAGGCATATCTACCCTGGGAGCTGATATTTACAGAAATTTTAGGAGATCAGATCTCTGTCTCCTCTAGTTAATTTTTCGGTCACTGAAGAAAAGTGCCTTTGAAAGTAACTGGGAACCCTACCCTTTGACACATACTCTTCCCACTTCTAGCTGGGAAAGGAAGAGAAACTCCAAAAGTATCTATTTCACTTTGTAGCCAGCCAAAGTCAATACACATAATTGTTTATGTTATCATTCATGATGTCAATAGTGCAATTATAAAATAATGATAATTAAAAAGAAAACATAAAAAGATGAGGTGGCTTTAGCTAGCTGTATGTAAAAAAACAGTACTTAAATAAACACCACTCGAGTTAATTTACAATTGATTATTGAATGTATGAGAACCATCTGAGTTAAGGAATGAGAAGAAAAGCAATATAACATTTAAAGAGGCATTAGCCATGGGAAACCTGAATAGTGCTTAAAACAGTCATACAGGAAAACTTTGTGCTGAAATTTCATATTAAGTTTTTAAAAATTACTAGTAAGGTCTGAGAAAAAGTGGGAGAACAATGTAGGAGAAAATATTGCAGCGTAACATCTTCTGGACCAGTGAAATCTTCTGGACCTCAACAAACAGGTCTCACTCTTCAAATGAATTATGGAGCCCCACTTGCTGGTTCATTTACTTCAATAGAGCATCCATTTCCCCCCCCCTCTTCTTTCTTTTTTTAAAAAATAATATTTTATTTCATAAAACATGTCCAACACCAACACCACCCGTGTGCGACTTCCAGGCATTAGAGACATAAATAAAATTCCATACAGTATTATATCCTCCCCCTTCTTTTTGAAAATATGTGCTATTACTGCACATGTGCAGACAATGCGGGTGCCATGTCTCCTGCCTCTCTTTGCACACATACTGAGAGGAACAGCAGAACTAGAGGCAGAGATACTCAGTGATGGAGATTTCCTCATAGTTCTCACTTCTCTGTCACTTCACTTGTTGGTACAAGGCTTATATTGTCTTTTCCTAGCTCTCTAGATCTGTCGACCATGGCCCTGGTCTTATCACAGGTGAGGTCATGAATCTACCCCTCTCTTTTTGTCATATGAATGCAACATAACGTCATGAAGCATACTTGCAAGCTCAGTGTGTCCAATGCTGTCAACTTAAGGTTAAAGTTAGGGCCCAAATCTAGAAAGGCTGAAGGCTACTGATCTGTACTATCTATAAAAAAGAGTGAACAACTTATAACGGAGTAGGGTTGGCAGGTCCTAGCTGACTGCTGGCAGGGGGCTCTAGGGTCCGTTCTGGGATCTTATGGCGTGTGCATGAAGTGCGCGCACCACAATAACATCAGCCAGAAGTGATGTCATCACGTTGCTGATGTCAGGGGGTGACACTCTAGTTTTTGGGCAAAACTCTATGGCCCAATTTTACCCCAAAAAGGGGAGCGATGGCACAGTGGGTATATCCCACTGTCTTAACATCCGAACTGTGTCAGTTCGAGCCCCGCGCTGGTGTGAGCAGCCAGCCTGTTGTCCCCAGCTCATCGTCCACCCAGCGATTCGAAAGCCTCGGCAAGTAGATAAAATGGGAACCACTCCTTAGAGAGGGTGGGCACACCAACTCCCCTGTGGGAAGGTGTTAGCTGTCGGTTGGCACGTCCTGCGCCAGGATCGGAAAGGTGGAAGAAACGACTCAGCTACTAAAATCCCTGCAGTGGGATGCTCCGGCCAGGCAGTGGCAGTGTGGCGATACGACATACGGGTCCTGAAGCCCCAACGTCATCAAGCTGGTTGACGCAGCCGTTCGGGACATGACTGATCCAAGCCAGAAGACGTTTCCACCGTGCAGTTACGGCGTGTGCAATTAAAAATAAATTATATGTTGTCTTTCCTATCCCCTATCTAAAAGTGTAACTGTAAATCACTTTGAGCCCACTTGTGGAGAAAGTGATTAATAAAATCGAAAAATCAAAATCAAAATCGAGTGTCACCCCCTGACGTCAGTGACATGATGATATCACTTCTGGGAGACGTCATTATGTTGCATTTGGGGGCATCTGCAGGTGGGGCCCACAAAAGTGGGGAAACTTCCCCCTGGACCAGGACCTGGCAACCTCATAGCAGAAGGAGGGAGAGAGAGGAAGGGCCCCAGCTATTTTGTGGTGAATCTGCCCTTTACCCTTTATTTTCTATTGGATAGCCTAGGTTTCAAACTTTAGAGGCCACTGAAAACGATAGCCTTTTGAAGTTTAAAACAGATTGTCAATGAACAGCTGAGGGGCACTCTAAATAACAGGCAGTAGACCAGGTCTACCACCCATTATTTTCAATCCAAATCTGGAGGTCAGGTCTGCTTCCCATTGAAAACAGTGCCACTTAAAACTATAAAGGGGCATTATCTCCAATGGCTGGCACGGCTCTCCCTCCTCCCTTATCACGCCTGCTGCCTGCATAGGGGAGGGGCAACCCGCAGTACAGCAGGCTGCCACTTTGGCCATTGGAAATAATGCCCCTTTAAGGCCCAAAGGCCAGGTCTACCATCCATTAGAGTTCCCCTCATCTATTTAGCAACACATCTTCCCTTTAAAGGTGAAAATAATGGCCCTTTATAATTTATAGGATTGTTACACTGTGGATCAGGTGACATAACCTTTCATGAGTCTAAGCTCACTTCATCAGTGACATGAAGTATAATTCGTTGTCTGCTTGATGTTTTTATCAACCTGATCATGAAATATTTCCTTCCTGTGAACAATACAATAACATCCATAAATACATGATTACAGGAACAATTAGGTAGAAAACACTGACAAAGTCTTATTTGAAATACAGATGAAGACTATTTAACGGATAGCACTGAGATTCACAGGAAGACAGAACAACCAGTATACTATACCTTCAGCTGAAGTTCTTTGTATCTTTTAGACATCCTAATGAGTAACTTTTCATCATTAATCACTGCAGGTTTCTCTTTGTAGAACTGTACCATGGCCTGAGCTGCTTCCGTGTATGCCATTTCTAGAAAAGCCTTTATAAAATAGAAACAGTTTTCAGATGTCATTGCATTTTAGATCATGTCATAAAGCAGAGTAGTGTATTAAAAGTTATAATTTCAAAGTATTTTAATAAAGTCAGGCTTCTTAGAATAAAACAGGAACAAAATCTTTAGTATACTAGGGTATTTATGCATTAGTCATGAGTTAATAGACACGTATGTCTGCTAATTAAAAGATATGAAATCTGGTATAATTTAAGTGCCGATGAGAACAGAGCTCCAATACCTTTAACTGTTATTTAAAAGAGGGGATTCAATGGGTCAGGCAGGATGAGAGAAGCTACATGTGCTAAAAATCTCCTCCATACACAGCTGTTATATTTATTTTTAAAATAATGTATATCTCATGCTTTCCACATGTTCAGGGCAGTTTATAAAAATCAATTAAAATAGTCATAACAAACACTACAAAATAACAATCATTACACATATCAAGGACAGTCAGAATATACCATATTAAACTGAAGAAACCCTCTGAAAGAAAAGGCATCATCTGAAGAGTCTACATCTAAGAGTAGATGGGAGGTGCTAACCCATACAAGAACATCCACTGAGTGTCCTGACCCGGGTAGCCCAGGCAAGCCCAATCTTGTCAGATCTTGGAAGCTAAGCAGGCTTAACTCTGGCAAGTACTTGGATGGGGGACCTCCTTGGAATGCCAGCGGATGGGAGGTGGAGGCAGGTTTTATTCAGCCACCTCTCTGAAAATCCTCCAGGACCCTAATAGGGGTCAGTCCCCAGAGGTCTCCATGACTTCCAGGTGCGCACATACACATATAATATATTTTTTTAAATCCACTGAGGGATAATATCATCTGCCTGCTAATCTTCTGTGTGGCATTTCAGTTTGCAATCATTGGCCCCTGTCACACGGCAGGGAAAACACTGGCCAAAGTGCAGCTTTTAAAAGCCGCACCAAAAAAGAGACGCCGCGGCGGGATCCCACGATCTCCTGAGCCGCGGCGCCGTTGCTCCCCGGCACGATCGGATGCCGGGGAGAAGGAGACGATTGGGAGGGGGAGGCTGCCAAACTGTGCATGCTCAAGCATGCGCAGTACGGCCGGGGATGCGCCAGTGAAAAGACGTGCCGGCGATCCCACGGCTGGCAGTGATGCGGCCTTTCGGAAAGAACCACCTAGGTAGGTGGTTCTTTTTTGCTGCGGGGTTTGGCCAGGAGGAGCGGATTGGGAACGGGCTGGGAACGAACGCAGCACGATTCCCAGATGTTGCTGTGGGATCGCGCCCGTTTGCTGCGGCCCCGATCCGTCCCTCTCATGTGAACAGGGCCTAAATGTGCAAGATTATGGGCTTTGTTTTTGAAAAATCTTTATCACAAATTCAACAGCAGCATGACCAGAGATCAATAAACATGACTGTACTAAGTAATACTACAAAAGTTGTCTCTTTTTTGTAAAATATGTTGGCGCTTCAGCTACAGTAAACCAAAATGGGCAATTAAGCTAGCAAGTGTTCGATTCATTTTTATTTTTAAAAGAACAGACCATTATTTTGAAAGGACAATCATGAATTCACTATGCACAGTCATTTTGTAATAACTACTACATTTTATGAATACACAGTTCTCAACAATACCTTGTACATATTTATGTTTTTCTTATAATTAAAAGACCAAAAATACCTGATTGGTAGATTTCATCAGGATATAATTAGTGACTTTTCCAAATGGAAGTCCAAGATTGATGACATCATTCTCCGTGCAGCTTCCTTCCGGAAGATTACAGATGTGCACTACTCGACCTGGAGCACATTTCCTTTGTGAGAGCTGAAATGTTTAAAAATCTTCTGATATACATTTATAAACAGCAACTGCTTAGATGCATGCATTTTTTTAAAATCATTTTTGGAATATAAAGATTTTCCCCCTTAGGCCCTATGTATTTATTTCATTTATTTTATTCATAGTGTTCAAAGTACATGATTTAGATCAGATTTAGTAACTATGAACACCTTGTAGGTTAGAATTTAGTATCTTGATACCAAGGCTTGTCTACGTCATATTTTTTACAGCAGATCAGTACTGGTTGAAGCACTTGGCACATGTGACCTACTCTGTCTATAGTTTGCAATATCTATCCTGTGTCTGTCTAGTATGTGTCATACTGACAAGTTACAGGAATTAATGCAGGCATAGTATAACCCAATGTTATGAGTCTGACATAAGAACATAAGAGAAACCAATGTTGGATCAGGCCAATGGCCCATCCAGTCCAACACTCTGTCACACAGTGGCCAAAAACACCAGGTGCCATAAGGAGGTCCAGCAGTGGGGCCAGGACATTAGAAGCCCTCCCACTGTTGCCCTACCCCAGCACCAAGAACTCGGTGCATCACTTGCCTCAGACTGAGAGTTTCTATCTATACCTTGTGGCTAATAGCCACTGATGGACCTCTGCTCCATATGTTTATCTAATTCCCTCTTGGAGCCATCCATGCTTGTAGCTGCCACCACCTCCTGTGGCAGTGAATTCCATGTGTTAATCACTCTTTGGGTGAAGAAGTACTTCCTTTTATCCATTCTAACCCGACTGCTCAGCAATTTCATTGAGTTCTTGTATTGTGGGAAAGGGAGAAAAGTACTTCTTTCTCTACCTGCTCTATCCCATGCATAATCTTATAAACCTCGATCATATCACCCCTCAGCTAAAGAGCCCCAAGCACTTTAACCTTTTTATAGAGAAAGAGTTGCCCTTTTCTGCACTTTTTCCAATGCTATAATATCCTTTTTGAGGAAGCATGTCAGGAAGGCTCCCACACTATTATCATTTTGCAGAATGTGTAAAACAGATTGATCAGGAGGGTACTTCTGTATTGGTATTAGGTTTGCAATAGTTGTGAAATTTTAGGCAGCTAACTGAATTGTTCACTGCATACTCTATACAGTTTGGAGTGTATTATTCTTAATTTTGCAATCTGGTTTTAGTGCAGTGCTCATTTTATGTGCTATATTGTCCTTCTTTACATTATTTTAAATTGTATTATACTGCCATTATAACAGTGCCTTAAACTATGTAATATGCCTTGAATCTCAGCAAGAAAGGCAGGCTACAAATGAACTAAGGAAATAAATAAAAGTAATTTGTTTGCTGAAAAAGTCCCCAAATTATTGGCCAGTGGTGTGAAGGAATGTACAGCCAGTAAGATGGTTTGTAATATGTATCATACTTTTCAGGTTATTAAGATCTTTCCTTTCAACTGCATTGTTTTGTTCCATTCTGTGTTATTTCTCTTGCTTAATACATATGTCTCTTTTATTTACCAGTGCACTCTAAGGATGAGATACCTTCTATTTCAGTAACCACCCTCAAAGATTATACCTATTTTCTTTCCATGTCTTGGTTGAGAAAATGTCTGACTACCATTAATGGGGGAATTACACACTCTTTTCAGAAGCCCTCAACAGCACTTTTCAGGCTTTTTATTCACAGTCACATAAAATGAATAAACATGGGGGGAAATGGACTTCAGTGGAAAGTTCTGCTACAAGGGTTGGCAAACTCCAGGTGGGACCTGGAGTTCTCCCATAATTAGAACTGATTTCTGGTCTACAGAACTCAGTTACCCTGGAGACAATGGTAGTTTCAGAGAGTGGGCTCTATGGTATATCACAGAGTCTAGGAGAAACTGAAGTCCTTTCCAGCCATCGCCCCCAAATTTCCATGAATTCCCCAGTTTTAGCATTGATCAAACTGAGTTTATGAAGAGCAGAAAAACTTGTTTGGAACAGCAAGCGATTAGTGAGTATGATGCATAAAATTAAAGGGCAAAATACATCTATTGTCTACTATTTTGTAGATGTGGAAAAAGCTTTTAATAAAGTCAGTCAATAATTTCTGTGGGCTGTGATGAAAAAATTTGGAGTAGATCCAAATTTTCTCATATGGCTATCGTCCTTTCATCTGTTTCCTAAAGCTTGTGTACTTGTAAATAGTTCTGTGTCTGAGATGATAAAAATAAAATGGGGAGTCAGACAAAGGATGTTCCTCCCCCCTTTTGTATAACATATATATTGAATGCCTAGCTCAAAAAATTAGGCAGGATTCAAATATCAAAGGTATCAGGGTCAGAAGAATCAAACAAAAACTCTTCTTTATGCAGATCACTGAAAAGTCTAGCTGAAAATTCAGAAGCATTTGGTCTTGTATCTGGGTACAGAATAAACAGAACTAAATTGGTTATAAAATAGATGAACAGTCTAAATTAGAAATAGCTCTGTAAGATATTAGATATTTGGGTCTAAATATCTCTCCCTTATAATAATTGAATAGTGGGGACCAACGTTCTAAAATGCCCGCCTTTAGTGTTAGGCCAGAAGAACTGCCACTCAGAAGACACTGGCTGGGTTGACTGGCTGCTTTGTGCAGTCCCACCCAGCGTTCCAAGGTCATTTGCATATGGAAGCAGATTGGACTTCACTCCATTCCACACCTCAAACTCCCCCCCCGCAAGGCAGTTGGAATTTTCAGTTGCATAACATACCTCATAGGGGAGAGGAGAATGATGCCCTTTCCCTAGGCAGAGGCTGTGGGGGGGGGGGGTTGTAAAACTTAAGACAGACAGGCAGATAAAGGTTGGCTGATGGTTGCCAGGAAAGGACATAGGGTTGCCAACTCCAGGTTGGAAACTTCCAGGATATTTTAGGGATGAAGCCTGCTGAGGGTGGGGTCTGAGGAGGAAGAGGGGGACCTCAGACAGATACAATGCCATACTGCCCACACTCCAGACAAGCTGTTGCCACTCTCCAGGTGACAGCTGGAGAGCTCTTAAAGCTTTGGTGCTAATTCAAACTGTTGCAATTTATCGACAGAGTAGTGTTTCGGAAAATCTTTAGGAATTGTTTGGTGCATTTACGATGGGGCTCCTGGGGAACTATTGTTGCCAATCTTGGCCCAACAGCCATCAAACCATTCTCTTCAACCCCCTGCTGTGCAGCTGACTTTCCCCTAGGGTTGCCAATCTCCAGGTGGGACCTGGAGATCTCCCACTGCTACAATTGATCTCCAGATGACAGAGATCAGTTCCCCTGGAGAAAATGGATGCTTTGGAGGGTAGACCCTATGACATTATACCTGCTGAGTCCTTCCGCCCCCCCCCGCCCAATGCTGCCCTCTACAGAATCCACCCCCCAAACCTCCAGGTATTTCCCTCCTTAGAGCTGGCAACCCTACATTCCCCTCAGTGCCTGTTGGTAGGCAACTAAGCTTGGTCCTGTCACCTACTTTGGCCTTTGGGAGAAAACACATTGGGGCCAGTCCTGATAGGGTTGCCAACTCCAGATGGGAAATTCCTGGAGATTTGAGGGATGGAGCCTGAAGAGGGTGAGGTTTGAGGAGGGGTGGGACCTCAGACAGGTACACTCCCATAGACTCCACCCTCCAAACCAGTCAGTCCCACATAGGGAACCATTGTTGCCAATCTCCAGGTGAGGGCTGGAGAGCACTCAGAATTACAACTGCTCTGCAGAAGGGAGGGCAGAAGTCAGCTGAAGGCAAAGGGGCAGATAATGGTAGGTTGATGGTTAGCTGGGAAGGAGATGGGGTTGCCAACTACATGCTGACAAATTCCTGGGGATTTGAGGGGTGGAGCCTGGAAAGGGTGGGGTTTGCAGAGGGGTGGGACCTCAGACAGGTAGAATGCCATAGACTACACCCTCCAAACCAGCCACTTTGTCCTGGGTAACAATTGCTGCCAATCTCCAGGTGAGGGCTACAGATCACTCACAATTACAACTGCTCTTCAGGTAGCAGAGATCAGTTCCTCTGGAGAAAACAGTGGACTCTGTCATTATACCCTGCTGAGGTCACCACAGCAAATTGACACTGTTTGCCCAAAGCCAGAGCACTCCCCCAGAGCCTCTTTCTAGATCTCGTTGTATTGCTTTCACAACGGGCTTTACTGCTAGTTGTTCATAATGTTGAAGAACTTCTAAAATACAATCCAAATCAGCTGCAACTGAAAACAGAGGAAGAACTGAAATGGTGGTCTAAGTTTGCTGTTTCATAGTTAGGCAGAATTGCAGTTCCTAAAATGAAAATTCTTCCAAGATTCTTGCTTCTATTCTGTGCTCACTCAAATACAACCTCTCAACAAAGAATAGTTATCACACAGAGAATGTTTAATAAATGTAGTTAGGTCCAATATTAAGAAGTAACAGTCTATATATGTCACAGTAGAACGATGAATTGTCACCCCCAACATACTGAATTATTATTATTATTATGCCTCTTTATTGAAGGTTATTTTAGAGTGATTTGGAGTAGATGATACTTTGAAAGTGTGGGATATTGCAGCTTCTACAATAGGTATTCCACAGCATTTCTGGTTATGGTTAAGTAGACAACAAGGAAAAAAGTGGTGATATAATTATTGATACAAATATGTACCAATTATTGGTACCAATATTAAGACATATGTATTAATTACTTATTGGTAAAATAAGAGAATTGGTAGATTCTCAGTATTAAGTTTGATTCTAGATTCAGCAAACATCCCAGGTGAATTTTCTGAATGGTTCAGAGCTAGCTTTGTAAGATCCACAGATTTTTGTGATAAGGGTAAAATAAGCCCTTAGGAATACTTTAGTACTAGGATAGGAACCCCTGCACTTAACAAGATTACAATACTTGAAAAATATTTGTTAACAAAACTGCCAAAATCCAAATTTAAGAAGGCCATTCACGGTAATAGAGAAATAGTTACTCAGGGTTCCAAAATTTATAACTTACTGCAGGAGAAAGAAATTGGGAAAAACATGTTCCAAAAAAG